CCCCCGCCCGGGCCCCCCTGGTCCGGTGCAGGCTCTGCTACGCTCCGCCAGTCTGAGTGGAACCTGCCCCGGGCACCCAGCCCAGCCTGCTCCGCGTCAGCTCTTGTCCTGCCGTCGTCTGTCGCGCCGCGGCGGCGTGTCCTTCAGGCTGCATAGGCAGGTCGGTGCCCCCCCCCCCCTCTTTTCCCCCTCGTTCTTTCCCCTCGCCGACTCCAATGCCCAGAGGCACTGAAGTTTAGCGCCTGGTGCGCCTTGCAAAAATATAACACTCAATCACGGTAAAAAAAAAATGTGACGCAAAGTTAGAGTTCAAAATGTAATCTCAAATGTAAAGCACCCAGAACAATGTGTAACGCGTAAATAGTTTTTCATGTACTTGATTTAGTCAAGGGAAATGCGCTTGTTTTGAGAGCATTTGAATTGTGACAACTGAAAATTGCGATGAAATTTGTCTTAAAACAAAAGCGCATTACAAAGGAAATCATTCGCAATTACAATATGGCACCTAGGTTTATTGTTGGCAAGCAAGTAGGGAATGGGTCTCCTGCCGGTACACACCGAAACCACACACACACTTTTGCATGCGTGTTTTTTCTGTATGACTTCTTGCCGTCCTATTTCGTGTGAACTGACACTCGTGTCGGCAGTGGTCTGCACTTTACCGCGAAAACAAAGTTGCGGAACGGGTTGCTGCGCACCTCCTGCCCTGGCTGCCTCCGGTGTTGCCGCCCGGCCGGGGTGCGCTGTGCTCGGCTGTGCTGCGCGCGGGGATTAGCGCTCCCTGTTGTGGAATGTGACGTTGTTGGCCGGCCATTGTGTCCCCCGAGCTCATGCCGGACGTCTCTGATTGCAGGTGTTTGACGGCGCGCTCCTCATGTGACGACTGACCCGGCCGGCGTACCCCCTGCTGCCCCGCTGCAAGGTGAGAGAGGCGAGCTATGGTGGTGACGGGCGGGGGCGGGACTGAGCACACACTCGTGCACACCTCGTGCATACACTCGTGCACGCTCTCGGAGCAAGCGTCTGGAGAAGATGATGGGCACCTCTCACTCTCTCTCTCTTTGCCTCGCGCAAGCTCGCGCCGTTAGCGCCGGCGGACGACTGGTGGACGTCACACCCACGCCACGGCGCTGGCGGCGCCCACTCGCCGGGCCGGCCGGGCCTGGCCGGGCCTCGCGCAGGTACTGACTGGGTCAGCCAGGTAGGCCCGCCAGCCCGACAGGCAACCGCCAGGCTAGGGGAGGCGCCTACACTGACATTTCGCGTGGGAGCGAACGGCACGGCTGGATGTTTGGATGCATATTGTGGATTCTGGATGGAATTGATGGACGAAATCTGGATGTAATGGATGTGCTGGGTGAATGGATGTAATCTAGATGGAATGGATATGTTGGAGGGATGGATTGAATGGATTGAGTGGATTGAATGGATTAGATTACGTAGATGGATTAAATGGACGGAATAGATTGCATGGCTTTGATGGGATTGATGAATTGGATCGACTGGATGGATGGATGGAATGGAATAGAATGGAATAGATTAGATGGATTTGGATGGATTAGATGGACTGAATGGATTGAATGGATTGGAATGATTGGATGGGATGGATGGATGGATGGATGGATGGATGGATGGATGGATGGATGGATGGATGGATGGATGGATGGAAGACGGACCGCATGGACCGACGGATGGGAAACGAGGAAGAGTGGGGCGGGCGAGCGAGAGGGGCGGCTATTGAGGGCCGCGGCGGACGAGTCGACGTTGAATGAGTTGATTTGTCCCCGCTACTGTCGAGCAGTCCTACAGTCCTGTCTCGAGCCCTGCTGGTGGTGGGGAGGAGCCAGACGCCCGCAGGCAGGACGAGCCTGTGCAGGCACAGGCACCAGGCGGGTCTCTGCCGTCCCTACGAGCGCCCTGTGGGGCTTCCCCGAGCTTCCCTCGACGCGCGATAGGTTGGTAGTATATAGGGGCAGCCGTTGTTAGAGGCAGGGAGGTGAGAGGTGAAAAGGGGGGGGAGTGTACCCAAGTGCTTTTGGGTCGCTATTTGTCCAATTCGTCACCCGCCCGCTTCCTTTTGACACGGCCCTGAGCAGTACGCCGAGGAAGACGCTTGTTTGTATCGGTTATTCACTGCTTACACAAAGGTGGGACATTTCAAACACGGACTGCCTTTGTGGCCTTTGCAAATTCCGAAAATCCCTTGGTGGCGCAGTTTGTTTTCCATGCGCGGTTTTTCTTTTCGGTTAGCTAAGATTTAACAACTGAAGTTTGTGTAACCCGCGCGGGTCTGAAGTGAAGTGACACCCAGCAGGACTGTTGGGGCCCCTAATGGGCGCCGTCGGCCGGGTCGGGTCATTGGCTGCGATCACCGCGTCTCGTCTCGACGTAGAGCCGGTAAACGGCGGCCAACGGCGGCGCCTCACCGAACGGTAAGCGCGGCGGGGCGCGGCGGGGCGCGGCGGGGCGCGGCGGGGCGGGGTCAGGGGCCGGGCGAGCCCGTTGGTGGTGGGCCCACCAACTCCGACGGCCCCCTTGACACTGCGCTGTCGCTGGCCGTGGCCCGGCCGCCGACGGCCTGCGGGGCTCCCATTGTCGGGCCCCGCGCGCTGGAATCTCTCGAACTGGATGACTCCTCGCTGGGCTCTCTGCCGCTGCGGGGCAATGCCGGGGCCTACCGGACTCCCATGCTATTGTACGAGCCGGATGTCTCGCTCGCCACAGGGATGGGGATGGGGTTGGCTTCCCGCGGACGCGGTTGTATAGCTTTGCGTTTTCTCTGCCTGATCTACTTCGGGCGCTCGCTGTCACCGGACCGGCCGGCGGGCACTGTTTGTTTGGGTTTCCAACCCGCCCCCGCTGCTCGCTCGCCTCGGGCTCGGGGCTCGGATCCTGCTCGGGGGCCGGACTGCGCGCATTGCATACCAGCAGCATACACTTGACTCGCACTCTCCTTTATCTCATTCTCCGCATGCTCTGCTCCTATTTCTCTCTCTTCCTCTCTCTTTCTCTCTCCCTTCTTCTTCCGCTGATACGCCCCACTGAAGCTGCGGCTCGCTTGCCGCTCGCCGGACTCACTCTCCAAAGAGAGAACAAGACAGACGGGACGGGGGCGATCGAGCTATTTCCGAACTCTTGCTCGTCCTCTTGGTGGTTCTGCTGAGCGCAACGCGAGTGCGCGTGCACCGCTGCGAGCAGCCGCACCGGGGGAGAGGGGGGGGGGGCTGAGACTATGACCCCCCTATGGCCGCCCTTGCCGCTGCTGCCCTTGTTTCCACCCGGCCGCCCCCTTTGACTGCGCCCAGCTCCGCTCCCCTCGCTGACGCAACGCGGAGGGGAGGGCCCCATGGCATCATGGAGTCCCCTGGCGCCTCACGCCTCACGGCCGCCCCCCGCCCCTCCGCTGCCCGTGATCTCGTTTTTCCTCGTGATTCGCACGTACTTTCATATTCATGGGCACACCGCGGGCGTCGGGCGCGGCTCGGCTGCGCCATGAGCTGGCCCGCGAGTGTGGCGGTGGTGGGCGAGAAGGAGGTTGGCCAGGCCTGGGCGGGCCAGGGCGGGCCGCACCGGATGTACAAGTTAGTGCTGAAGATGGCCGGTGTGTAGTCACTCAGTGTGTGGCGTGGGAGAGCGCTCGACCGTGTGCATCTGGTGGCCGCCTGGTGGTGAGTACTTACTCGCGCTCACGGGCAGGACCACTGTCAGAAAAAAAGGAAAGAAATGAAACAGGGGGAAAAGGGCGTTCTTCAACTTCAAATAGGGGTTTTACGACTGCTTGTTGATAGCAAACTTAAAAGTGAACTTCCATTACACTTTCCGTCATTTCACATTTTTGGTCATTTCGTTATTTCCAATTAACTGGTGCGTGGAAGATCGAAGTGAGCGACCCCCATCTGTTTTATCAGTGGCGGGATGGGTCATGGGGCCGCTTCCTTGAGGCAGGGCAGTGCGGGCGTGGGTGGCGCTCGGCACGGCCAGACACGGGCTGCGGCGGTGCGGTGGCGGTGGGGCAGCGACTGGAGTGAGAACTAACTCCAGTGAGCAGCGCCACAGCGCGAGAGTGAGTTTAGTGGGCGTCTAGCGTCTACGCTGTACCGGGGTGTTACTGTGAATACGCAGAGGTGTTGCGGGTTTGTCTTCTCTACTCCCGTAAGGGGCCATGGCCCCTGCGGACATACTGGGTATGCAATCCCGCAACACTGCTGCGTGTTCACAGTTACACCCGGTACAGTTCGTAAAAGTTGGAGCCAATATGTGAGGTTCTTCCTCACGCCGCCCCTTGTGGTAGTTAAAATATGCAGCTGCAGCTTCCCCGAATCTCGTTTATGGGGCCCGCTCGCTCCTCGCGGGGCCAGCCGGCAGCCAGCCGTGCAGGGCAGGCCACCGGGTGGACACCGGCGCCCCGCGGCTGCCTACCTCTGGTCCTGGTGGCGCGCCGGGTCCGGGCCGGGGCCGGGGCGAGGTGTGGCCGGACGTGATAGCGACACGACACAGATAACGCTCGCGGCTCGGCCTCGCCGCGGCCGCGAGCCGCCAGCAGGCCGGTGTCAAGTGCATGAATCCGTGTGTCAATGACGGCCTCTGCGGGCCGCCGTTGAGTTGGGGCCCGCGCAGCAACTGGCGGGCTGTGCCCTATATCCCCCCCCCCCTTCCCGCCCCCCTTTCACACTGTACAGAAGAAACATTATTCAGCCTACAAAGTCAAATGTGTGCTGTACTTTTTAGTACAGAGCTCGTCCTCCGTCGCTCCCCGCAGTTGCTTTACATCGCGTGGCTTGCACCTTCAATCGAATGTCACTCTGCGCATTGAATAACAACGAAAATAACCAGAAAGTCCTCCCAGCTGGTCCGTATGTGCTCTGCTCTCCACATATGGGTGCCGCGCAGATTTACGACGAGTGCTCATTGCTCCGCCCTCGCCTCTCTCCATGATGGAGCCGTACAGCTGGTTTGGCTCCATGCTCTCCGGCGACTACGGCGGCGGCGCTCGCGTTGAAATGTCACAACTTCCGACGCAGATGTCATCCCCTCCGCGTGTGCGATTGGACGCGGACGGCTTTCAGGGTTGTGGCTGCTGTGGAAAATGAAGCGGGTGACGACGTCACGACGCACTTGGGCAACGGCGTGTTGTTTTTGATTCTCAACGCAGAGTTATGCGGGCGCGGCGGGGCGCGGCGGGGCGGGGCGGGGCGATCAACCCCGAGGGGCGGGGCGGGGCTGCGGGTGGTCCCCGCGGATGGCCCCTCTCAATGGGAATCAGGCCCGGCCTGCTATTCCCTTTCCCATGGATTGTTTCGGCGCTCGCCGCCGCATGGCTTTTCCTTTGCTCGCCTTTGCCTTGCCGCTCCTCCGCCGCACTACGTTCCACTTGCACCGCACTGCGCCAAATTTTCCCTTCATGCGGCCCCGCGGAGTGGGTGTCCGCTCGACTTGTGCGACTTGAATTTCCTTTTGATTTCCGTCCTGGAACGTTGGACGTCCTCGGGTGCAGAAAGGCGAACCTTCATTACCTTCAAGTGTTAGATAAGTGTAGATCGGTCTGGCTCAGCCTCCCGGGGTGGTCTGCGATCCGCCCCGCCCCGCCCCGCCCCTCCATTATGTACGGAAGCTGCCTTATTGCCTTTAGCAGCTTTCCAATAAGTACTCCTCTGCCGTGGCGTGGCGCTGCCGTAGTGCCCAAATAAATACCATTAACGCCCCGGAAAGCCCCGCCGTCTCTCACTTTCACCCATGACCCCCCAGTGTCTCCGCCCCGCCCCGCGCCTCACCGCGGCGGTGTGCTGTGTGCCGTCGGCGGCGGGGCGGGGCGGGGCGGGCTGCACAGTATTGAGGCCGCGCCGCCACCACGCGGTAGGGCTGCGCCCGCTGGGCCCGGCTGGGCCGGCCGGTGGCGGACGTTGCCCTTGAATCACACACAGGACGAGCGTTACGTCAGGTCCGGGAGAGGAGGGGAGGGAGGCCTTCGATGAGCAGCATGCTCGCCTTTCTCCTGTGGGATGCGACGAAATGGCTTTGTTAACTGCTTTTCCTTTTCCCCCTTCTCATCTTCGGGAGGAGGAACGCTCGGGAACGCCTCGGGCCTCTCCCCGCCCCGCCCCGTCGTCCCCCTGACTCGGGTCGACGCGGTTCCGGGTTACCTTTATTCTTGTTATTGTTTCCCCCAGGTGGCTGCGCTGGACGCTGGGTGGGGCGGTGATGCTACCGTGCCGTACCCCTCTCTCCGCTCCAGTTGCAGCCCCTCCCTCCTCTCCTGGAGTCCTGGAGGGCCTCCCCTCCAGCCCGCCCCGCCCGCGCGCTTCGTGTCATTAGCTCGATAGCGTCGCCCGGCGCTGGTCCGAGTTAGGCTGCGCGCGCTAGGGGGCCAAGGTGCTCGTTTCTCTCGCCGTGCTTTCTCCGTGGTCACGGCCCGGGCCGGCTGTGCCGGCTGTCGTGCCGCGCGGTGTGGGGTGAGGTAGGCCGCCGGAGAGGCGCTGCCGCCGCGCGGGCTGCCTATCCTGCAGCGCGCAGGCACCCGCCCTCCGCTGGGGCGAGAGACTTTACTATAGCTTCAAGCGTACAATGATTTTTCTGCATTTTCTTGGCTTTTCTTGATTGTTTTCCTTTCTTCTGATTTTGATTGATTCTCCCCCCCCCCTTTTTAAATTTGAGTGTGTGAACTGATTTTGGGGGGGAGGACAAGTGCCCCTCGGGGGAAGGTCCATGTGCCTGGAATAATTTTGCTGTTGTTGTGCTGCAGGTCGCTCTGCCGTGCCATGGAGTGGGCCATGCTGCCCTGTGCGGTGCTGCTGCTGCTACTCGCCCTGCCACCCGACCAGGCCGACGCCGCGCTGGAGGGGCCTCACATCTGCACTCGGCAGGCGCCATACAACCAGACTGTGAGGGTGTCGAAGCAAGTTCCAGTCCAGAGGAAGGTTTACTCGTGGTGCCTGAACATTCCACCTCGCTGTTCCAAGTACAAGCTGGAGCTCAAGACCCAGTATACAACCCAGGTACCAGCACCAGCTGAAGAAAATTGTCTTTATTTTCATTTTTCAATTGAGCTTGAACAGCATTGTTACACTATGTCTACTTTTCTTTGGCAGACTTTGTCTAAAACAAGACCTGTTGAGGAGTGTTGTGATGGGTATGTCCAAAGTGGAAACCGATGTGTTGCACATTGTGACGAGGTCTGCATTCATGGCAAGTGTGTGGAACCCAACAAATGCCAGTGTGAAGAAAATTTCGGTGGACCAACATGCAATCAAAGTACTATATCGTGAATGTACTTACAATGAATTCTTTTTTTGTGTTAACAGCTCTTTCTAATTTGTTGTATTGTTTTTGTTTGTTATCAAAGCTTGTCCAGACAATCGCTTTGGCCCTAACTGTGAGCACAGGTGTCAGTGTGTAAATCAAGCTATTTGTGATCCTTTTTCTGGAGAGTGCAATTGTAAACCTGGCTGGACAGGTCAGCATTGCTCTTTAGAATGCCCTCCTGGAAAATATGGACAAGATTGTGAAGAAAATTGCAAGTGTCAAAATGGGGGAACTTGTGATCACGTGTCAGGCGAGTGCCATTGTGCTCCAGGATGGATGGGACCTTTGTAAGTATTGCACTAATTTTTTTTTTCCTTTTTGCTGTAAAGTTTTCAAATTTATTAGGTTTTTTTTAAATCTAGGTGTGAGAATCAGTGCCCTGAAGGTAAACATGGAAATGAATGTGCTGCAGAGTGCAGGTGTCAAAATGGTGGAACATGTAACCCAACCTCAGGAAAGTGCTATTGCACTCCTGGATGGACGGTATGTTATTTTGTTTTTGATTTTCTTTTTCTTTATTTTGAAATATTTCACCTATTTCAAAGATGAAGTCATTTGACTTGTATTGAATTTTTTATAATTTTAAAATAGGGTGATGTCTGTGGAAACCGTTGTGGATTTGGTCTCTGGGGAGTGAATTGTTCTAAAGTTTGTGATTGCTACAATGGAGCACCTTGTCATCACATTAGTGGGGCATGTGAATGTCAAGCTGGATTCAGAGGGGACAAGGTACTTTATTATACATTTATATTACATATTTTCTTTTTGGGTATTGGGTATTGTAATTAAGAAATTTTTCTGTATTCTATTGCAGTGTCTTGATCGCTGTCCTGAGGGATACTATGGAGTGATGTGTGCCAAAAAATGTGACTGTAAGAATGGTGCATTATGCTCACCTGGGGATGGAACTTGCAAATGCAAGGAAGGCTGGAATGGTCCTGACTGCTCACAGCGAGCTTGTCCAGAATGGACTTTTGGAGCAAATTGCACAGGAAGCTGCAGTTGTGACATGAACAATACTGAGAGGTAACATATCACTGTTTGCTTGAGCCAATCATAATTTTTTTCCTCCCTTACACAATTGTACTATCTATTATTTTTTTCTTTCTAGTTGTGATCCACATACAGGTGCTTGCAATTGCAAGCCTGGCTGGGATGTACGTTCCTGTGCTCGCCCTTGCCCAATGCTCACTTATGGCTTAGGATGTAAGCAAAAGTGTGATTGTAAAAATAATGCTCTTTGTTCCTCTGTTGATGGCTCTTGCATCTGTGCTGCTGGTAAAGTTCCCCATTTTAAATTGTTTCTATATTTATTTTTAATAGTATTGATCCATGTTTAAGAATGGAATTTGTTATTCTGACAGGTTACCGGGGCAAAGATTGCAGCTTAGAATGCCCTCCTGGCACTTTTGGAGAGGACTGTGCTCAGAACTGTAACTGCAACGGTGCAAAATGTGATCATGAGACTGGACAGTGCTATTGCAATCCAGGTCAGTTTTGGATGAATCTAAGTAGTTTTTAAAGTGTGGTATAGTTCCTTTTTTTGTTGATTTTGATTTGTTGGGAATTTAACATTATTATAAGCCAATTTATTTCAGGTTGGGAAGGTATTGAATGTGAACGGCCATGTAATGGTACTTCATTTGGAAAAGACTGCAAAGAAAATTGTAAATGTGAGAATGGTGGTGTTTGTCATCCCATAAATGGTAAGTTGTTGTTAATAGCATCTAGTATATTTCTTTAGAATCTATCTTTTTTATATAAGTTTCTTTTCTTTTAGGCACCTGCACTTGTCCAGCAGGATTTGAAGGAGAATTTTGTGAGCGAAAATGTGAGGAGGGCCGTTATGGTATTGGCTGTCGTTTAGAATGTGACTGTGACCCGCACAATACTATAGGTTGTGATCTTAAAACAGGACAGTGCCATTGCAAACGTAATTGGAGGGGTATGTAGGGATTCCTTATTTAAAAGATTAATTTTATGCACCTATCAATAAATCACTAAGGTATTGTTGTTATTTGCTGACTGAATTTGTTATCTTTTTTTGTAGGGATGAGGTGTGCGACTGAATGCAAAGAAGGATATTTTGGCCCAGATTGTAGTAATGAGTGTGATTGTGCAAATAATAGTACCTGTGATGCTGTCAGTGGGGCGTGTATCTGTGCAAGGGGCTGGCAAGGTGATCGCTGCAGTATTCCTTGTAACCCAGGCCGATATGGCATTGGCTGTAAAGAAGAATGCCCTCACTGGGCATATGGTATGTAACTTATTATTACCTATAATGTGTGATATCTGTTTTCGGGGAAAATAAAGAAAAACACCCTAATAAATTTGGAGCATTCTTGCTCTTCAACTATTAAATTTAATATTCTGTATGTGTTAGGTGTCAATGGTGAACCTGCTTGCAATCATATTACTGGAGAATACCATTGTAAACCTGGTTTCCAAGGATTGAACTGTGAAATTCCATGTTCAGAGTATACTTATGGTCAAGATTGCAAAGAACAATGTAGTTGTAAGAAGACTACAAGGTGCCACTATGTGACAGGTAAGAGAAACTGAGAGCTAGATCCACTGAATTAAGTATTTCATCTACATTTATAGTCATAATTAGAAAGGACATTCTTTTGTCTTATTTAGGAGAGTGTCAATGCCTGCCTGGATGGACAGGCGATAAATGTGAGCGCCCATGCCGTCCTGGCTTCTTTGGCTTGCACTGCAGTCAGACCTGTAAGTGTCAAAACGGTGGGCACTGTCGAAGCAATGATGGTTTTTGCCACTGTAAGCCTGGTTGGACAGGTCCAAAATGCTATGAAGGTAAGTTTTACATTATTAAATTATTTACAGTGTTATTTCATTGTACTGTTATCCTTATATTATTATTTTTGTAGCTTGTCCGGATGGTTTGTATGGCACCAATTGTATGGAGGTGTGTGAATGTGAAAATGATGAGAAGTTTGACTGCCATCCCATTAAGGGCTGTGTCTGCCGCAAAGGTCTCTCGGGTAAGGAAATAACCTCTTTTAATATTGAGACTTGAATGTTGTTTTTTTCTGATGTGCCTTATCTTTTTAAATTCTATTCCATGATTCCAGGTAAAAGTTGTGAGCTTGGTGATATAGAAGTTTCTGGACGATTACAAGGTGATGTTGAAGGGAAGGCGCAAACTAGTAACGCTGGCATGGTTGCTGGAGTCATTCTTGCAGTTTTACTTTCCTGTGGCGTTGTGGGCTTCATATTATTGTATTACCGTCGTCGGGTCAAGAGTCTGAAAACAGAGTTGGCCCAAGTGCACTATCATGCAGATCCCGGAGTTTCCCCTGGTAAGTACTGTGAATGATATCTCTATAACTTGTCTTGATCATTTTTGGCTAGTCAGTGCAAGCATGGCTGATTTAAAATCTTTGCGCTTTTAAACAGACCGTCACCACTTTGACAATCCAGCCTATTCATACACAGGAAGGGTTGCTGCCAATGGCTCTGCTGTTGGTGTTGGATCTGATGAGGGGTCACTCTTGCCCCTTAACAATATGCACAAGAAAATTCATAATAATCTTGGCAGCAAAAATAATCTCAATATTGAAAGGCAGAGAGCTGGTTGTAGCACTGAAGATGATGATGACTTATGCTCAAAGGGTGAGCACTTAGTGTCCTGTCAAGCCTGTCAGTAGTAGTTTTAAAGTTAAAAGTAAACGTGTTTTTGTTTGTTTTTCTTTTAGGTGCATATGGGCTACAGTTCGAGCATCCTATCTCTGCAAAGAATTGGGGAGCAGATCTTGGTAATCCTAATTTAAATATGTATCAATCAGTAGATGACAAAGCCATGGAACATGTTTATGACGAAATCAAGCAAGCCAAGGGTAAAGAAGCAGGTAAATAAAGTTGTGCAGTAATTAACTGCATGTTGGTGCTGTGCCATGTTCTATTTACCATAATTGAATTTTATCTATCTATGTTTAGAAATGGAGTATGATCATTTGGATTATAGTAGGCCTGCAACTTCATGGAAACCTCACTACCACCAGCTTTTGGACAAAGGAAGCATTTCAGGGGCTGGCTCTTCCAGTGCTGCAAGTACAGCAAGCACAGCAATACTTAACATACCAAATACAGAGGTGGAGCCTAGCAGTAGTAGCAACTGCAGCAACAGTAGCAGCAGCAGCACGAGCTCAAGTGGGAGTGAAGATGTAGCCAAGAAAATGATTTGATCCTCATACTCTCTTTTTGTATCTTAACTTTAAATGAACATTCCGCTCTGCGAGGGCTCCTTTTCTCTTACTGAGTAGGAATTAAGGTGGATCTGCAATATATGCATATATGCATTTTCTCGTGAGATGGTACATTTTGACTGATTTCAGGGGCAACTAAATGAAGCACAGTTCCTCTAAGGAACTCTCTCAGAAATATTTCTGATGTTGTCCGTGGGCTCATGAGACTAGTCACTTGCTTGATTTTAATTTTCCATCCTTTTGTGTGCAAACACTATTTTAAAGTTTTACCACTGACCAGAACCTTTTTTTAATTTTGACCATCCAATGAATTAAAGGAGAGATCATCTTCGAGGTCCTGAACATGTTTAAAACTCTTTATTTCCCTTTCATTTGTGACTTGTTTAGAAGACCGTTACGGAGTTCTTTTGTGATATACCAACATTTCTTAGTCTGTAGTTTTAATGACTCTTACTTTTTGAGATTTCTGCTGTTTCTACCAGTCTACTTTTATGAAGTGCTGAACCATTTTGAATGAAATAAGACGAGCAATCAATTATAATTATTTTGTACATATTCTATTTATTTTTTGTATATATTGTCATTGTCATTTTAGTTTAAAAACAAAATCCTTTTTATTACTGTTTTTCTATAACTAAGAATTATATTAATATTACAAATATTTTGTGTGTTCATGTACAGTACACTTGTATCATTGTAATTTTTGAGTGCAGAAGTATTGCTTTTATTGTGTATCATGTGTTCATTGTGTGTCAGGGCAAAGGTCTTCCTTCCTATTGCACACCTATTGAAGTGATTTCTATTGGATGTAATGGAATGCTTTGAGAAATTGAGTTTTCAGCATGTGGAAACATGCAAATTTTAAACTGCATAGAAGCTAGGAATCGTGGGTTGATATTTTCAATGAAAATTTTATGTTCTGTAATTTTCTTAATCCGAATGAAATTTAACACAACTAAACAGTAATAGCACTTCTATTTGCTGTTCTCATTTATTTAGAGCATGTGTTTGAGATGTATCAAGTATTCTAGCGTCAATCAACGAATCATTGCATCAATTTGATATTGCTTAACATTTATTTGTTAATTTGTCAGATGTTGTGCCAACTTTAGGTACCATAATTTGTTAAAAATTTGTCTGATTTCATTTTATGAGTTTTACATAAATTTAGACAAATATTCCAACATATGTTTTGTGTGTTGTTTAATTGGCAATCTCTTTATTGTCTATGAGGAGCTGTGTGTAAAGAAACAGACTGAATTCTTTTGTAGATAGATGGCCCTCTGTGAATTATGTATTGTGACATTGTGACTGTGATGGAAATAAATATATTTTAATTCATACCATTGAGCACTCTATGTGCATTAATTTTATCTGGACACAACTTAAGCTGAATCTCTCTCCCGTTTTTTCAAAGTTTGAAGGTGTCAGTTTAGTTCATGGATTTGGAGGGTATCATAACAAAATGCTCACAATATTTTATAAACTTAGCAAAATACAATTTTTTACCAAAATTTTGTAACACAGAATGTACAATACAGAGGAGTTAACATGCTTACACTTTAATGGCACTCATTTTAGAATTCATGAGATCCATTTCCTTCAAAATAGAAGCTACGGTATATCTAAGTTTGTGGAACTTGGACACTGAAAGCTCAAATGTAATTCTCCTTCCATTGTCAAGCCTTAATTCCATTATTATATTTGGTTCTAGAACCCTTGATAATGCACTGTAGGAGAAACAGTATAAAGATGAGCATTTAAAAGAACTAAAAGGAAACGTTTAAACGAGACTATTACTATTAGTGATACACACCTGGATGATATTGTTATATCCACTCGCCATTTCATTTCTCTGACTGTGTCAAAGTGTCGCTGCAGCAGAGCCTGATCTGAATGAACTTCAAGTTTTGCACTTCTGAGTATTGCCACACATTTCTCAACTGAATTCTTTGAAAGCCTTTAAAAGGAGAAGGTTAAATAAAATTATGAATGCAATTTTTAAAGGATTGATAGTCACAGGACACACAACATCAAGCAATAGACACTTACGACAGGTGATGCAAGTTGTCAGAAAGAGTAGAAACCGATGAATTTTCATTTGGTGCCCTAACAAATGCTTCAACAATTGGAAGGATTTGTCCGAAAATTGATGCATTTTTCACAGCAATTGTTCGTTGCTCTTTGTCAACTTCAGCGAAAGGCTTCTTCACATAGTCGGCAGCAACTAGAGAAAAAATTCCAATATTATTTCAAGGGCACTGTTGAGCAACAGGTTTTTTGGACCAAGCCGTGTCAGACCTAAATTATGAAAATAATTATGCTGGCTGGCAGGACAGGCCCCAGCCCTAAGTGAGAAAGGAGACTTACGCTGTACGAGATTGACACTTAAGTCATCTGAGATGAGAGCCATGTTACTTTCATTAATACTTTTCAAAAAATTAAACACATCGAAGTTCAAAATAAGAGATTTTAAAATGTAAACAAAGTTTGACAGCAGGTAGGCACAGTTGTAGCAGACAGCTCTGACTGCCACCAAGTAGTTCACGCGACTGTATGTGCGACGTACAAAAAAGTGCTCGATGTTGTGCGTTTGTTTGAGGTACCACAGATAGATGAGATAAGTATCTTATTTTATTAATTCTAATCAGAACTGTGAAGTGTACTGGTGAAAATTGTATCAAGAATGTAAACATGCGAACACAAACTGGGCAGTTTGTGTCGATTTCTGAACGCACTCGACAAGTCAGCTGATGTGCCGTCTTTTGTTTTTTCCCCCACCCATAAAGTTCTCCCCCTGATACGACGGAGCGATACTTCTTTGGCGCTCGTTGCGGAGGACGTTCCAGACCTCAAGACACTTCAGTTTTGTCCGGTCATTAGAACGGTTTGTCTGCACGTTGCGGTTCTGTCATCAACATGTCATCTCCAAAGAAAGTCTGCATCGTTGGCTCCGGCAACTGGTATGTTGTATCAACCACCGTATCAATTACATGCCCGACGTTAAATTTGGTCTTGTCACATCAGTTTGGTTTCATGACATCGTGTTACATTTGTCTGAGTGCTTGCGTGGACTTTGCTCAACATTTCAAGCAATCCATTTGCTCGCTCTCTGGCCGCTGCCCTTGAGCTTCACGGCTGTCTAATAATACCGTGTTAACCCTGGCAACGTTTTGTGGTTTATAGTTTTATATCCCCACTCAGCATCTCCTTTTGCTGCTTCACAAGTCTGTCATAATTTTCAGTGATAGCTTTGCCCCTTTGCCCGGCAGTCTCTATCTCAAAGTCGTGTTCAATGACTCCTACTCCTCTGTCAGGTGCTGTGGTGATAGAGTAACCTACCCCACTGAAGGTCAAATGGTCCCAAAATAAACATAATGAATGGTTAAACAATCCCTATGGTTCATGCAAGAACTTGTGTTTGAAAAAGACAATGCTCTTTAACTGCCCTTTTCATTCAGTTCCCTTAGCAAGTCCCACTGTATGTCATACTACAATGTTACAATTTCTTATAATTAATGTGGCAAATAGTGATCCATTAGTTAGTCTGAAATTCTCATTTCAGACTCAATTTCACATGTCCGCTTTCTTTCACAGGGGTTCAGCAATTGCTAAAATTGTTGGAGCCAATGCCAAAAAGTCTCCCAACTTTGTGGACAGAGTCACCATGTATGTCTATGAAGAAATGATTGATGGCAAGAAACTCACAGAAATCATCAACACCACTCATGAAAATGTGAAGTACCTGCCTGGTCACAAGCTCCCTGAGAATGTGGTATGTATACAGCTGATGATCTTCTCACATGCTCTAAACAGTTAGGACCTGTCACATGGAGTTGTCATGAGACTGTCTGGTTCCTTGGCCCGTAGTATGCATATCATGCATACTTAAGTTGTTTTTTCTTTTACCTAAAGAACACCTTGCTCTTGTCGGGGAGGGGGGAGATCCCATACTTGAACACTGCAACCTAGCCCACAAACGATTAGCTTCTTCAGCTTGGCTGGGCATTTTTAATTTTTTTTTCCGCAAAGTGTAAGCTGTTAGGAAAGAATTTTCCATGAACTGGAAGATAACCAAGGTTGGGAATGCTTCCCCTCATCTTTTTTGACTTAGGAGATAACAGTGTTGGCAATTGTATTGGTTTGGCAGTATTCTGAGTGGCTTATCTACTGTACACACCTTGTCTTCTCATCTTGATGGTCTGGGCAAACAAGAGGGCTTGTCAGGGCATATTGGTTTAGCCTTGGTTTAGCCAGAGGCAAGGTCAACTGGTGGTCTTTAGGTAGAGATAAGATCTCTCCAGAGGGAGGAAAGTCAGCTCTATCTGTCTCTTATGTGTATTTGTGTATCCAGAAGATTCCACGATCAGATACTTGTAAAATTTTGATGAATGTTTTCAGGTTGCTGTCCCAGACCTTGTGGATGCTGCTGATGATGCAGATATCTTAATATTTGTGGTACCTCATCAGTTCATCCCCCGACTATGCCAAAGCCTGGTCGGAAAGGTTAAGCCAACATGCATGGGTCTCTCTCTAATCAAGGTTGTATTTCATTAGCGCTACTGACCTGTTTACTCATAACACCTAAGTGTTTCAATTTTAATTTTTGTGTGTATTTTTCTTTACAGGGTTTTGACAGGCCAGAAGGTGGTGGCATTGACCTTATCTCCAACATTATCACTCGTATGCTTGGAATCCAAATGGCTGTTTTGATGGGTGCCAACTTGGCTGGTGAAGTAGCTGATGGAAACTTCTGTGAAACCACAATTGGCTGCAATGACAAAGCCATGGCTCCTATTCTTAAAGAATTGTGCCAAGCCGACTTCTTCAGAGTTGTGGTGGTTGATGACAGGAACACAGTGGAGATTTGTGGTGCCCTGAAGGCGAGTGATCCTTTTATTTCTTTTCTTCTTTTGTCACATACTCACAATGTAATGTTACAATGTTAATTTTTCCGAACAGAACATTGTTGCCTGCGCTGCGGGTTTCACAGATGGCTTGGGTCTGGGAGACAACACCAAGGCTGCTGTGATCAGATTGGGTTTGATGGAGATGATCAAATTTGTTGACACTTTCTTCCCTGGCTCTAAGCTTAGCACTTTCTTTGAAAGTTGTGGAGTTGCTGACTTGATCACTACTTGCTATGGTGGCCGCAACAGGAGGGTGTCTGAGGCATTTGTCAAGACAGGCAAGGTAAGATGGTTCAAATCAGTTCAGATTATCGCTATACCATGCACAAACTTGTTCTATTGTATCTTAATGGTCTTCATTTTGCAGTCCATCCCTGATCTGGAGGCAGAGATGTTGAACGGACAGAAGCTGCAAGGGCCAATTACTGCTGAGGAAGTTAATGTGATGTTGAAGGCAAAGAACATGGAGGACAAGTAGGTTTTTATACTCTCCACTTCGATATTTCTTTCGTCACATCTGTGTCACTAACTTACTGCTCCATTTGGTTTTCTAGATTTCCTCTCTTCACGGCTGTGCACAAAATCTGCACAGGGCAAATCAAACCAGTCCAGCTTGTTGACAGCTTGAAGAACCACCCTGAGCACATGTAAGTACACTCTTCAATAGTAGACTTAAACGAATAGTCAATGTGCCAAATACCTTACTTTTGAATCCCATTTCAGTGAAATTAAGCTGTAATAGTATCATCTGAAACATATCTGGTACCGTCATCAGTAAAATATCAATTGAATTTGTTTGAGTTCAGCTTACGCACTCAATTTCTAGTTTAGATTCACAATGCTTTCCTAATGCTGTTTACTTTAGAGCTTTACCAAATTTTGAATCAAATCCATTTTCTCAAATTTTAACTAGTCTTACAATTACATGTATATTTTGACTTACGATATACTGTTTTGGCTACTGCAACTTATATTACTGAGCATGGATTTGTTTGCCCCAATCAATTTCCTCTACTCTGAATGTGCATTGCAACAAATAACTGTTTCTAGAACAATAGTGTCTGTGTGAAAAAATTGTCTTCCTTTGCCTGAAATTATTACTAACTTAGTCTTAGATGATTGTTGTTTTTGTTTGTAACTAACACTGCTTGAACCTTTGTTTCCTCTAGTGAAGTTGATGTCGACCATCGCAGCTCCCTCTAATATCTGCACCATGGATCAATGACCCTATTGGAAGACTGCTATGCCAATCAAGCTCCTTATGGAAGTGAAATCGAAATTTAAGCATAAGAACTTGTGAAACTTCGGCATTTGTTCTTAAATTTAGTTATTTTAAATTTTTTCATTTTAGCTAAGAATATTCATTCATCCTCTCCAATGGTATTGTTATTAGTATTTGATATTGCTCAGGGCAATTGTAAATGTACTCAATTTTTAAACCTGCCTTTTAAGACTCAGCTATGTTACTTACCACTCAATTTCCATGACTTGCACTCCTGCTTTTGCATTTATTACCCCTGTAGACCTAGTCTCTTGTTAGCTAATGTTTTCTGTATTTTTAAAACGATATTGTTGCATTTATTTGCAGTGGTTTTGTAGTAGAATAGGGAGAAATTTAGACTTCACACCTGTTCTCTAAGGCATGCTTAGGCCCTTGAAAAATATCTGACCACATTTGTTGTTTACAGGGGATGAATTGAGCACTACATCAATGGATATAGTTGATACTAGTTCCCTGGGCAGTCGTCTCGAATCTAGGTGAAGCAGCTGTTACAGTGAGACCATCACCTTAATGTGTTCAAAATTGTTTAAAGAAATGTATATGGAGGAAAATTCATCTTTTAACTTGCTTGTTTTCATATTTTACTGTTTTAATTTGTTTCTATATTTGGCAATGTATTTCTTAAACTAAAGGCAGAAACCCTTGGAAAATTTTATTAATTTGGGGAAAGTTGAGTGTTTGCTATCTCCTGTTGAAAGAATCTGTGTGTAAGTGGATCCTATCAACTGTACCTGGAATGTAATATAAGTGGGCTGCTTTAAGTGTAAAGATGCAGGCATCTTTTGATTGTGCTCAAATGTTATTTGTAAGATTATTGATTTGTTTTATCAGAATTGGATGCACCTAGTCAATAAATTACACAGTAAAGATTGTTGCCAAACATTACTACCTAAACTTTTTCAGCACTGGTCAGATAGTGCCATATGGTCATGCAGGGTCTTCACCATATAATAGCCCAAAGTTATGTTAATGAAATTACAACGATTTACAAGCAGGCTGTCAAGAGTGTAATCATGTGTTAATGAATTCCAAATATAAGAAGTGTTCCTGTTGATTTTGGTCTAGTTCACATTAGACTAGTTAAATTTACAAATTGTAACTTCACAATGGCTAGTTGCAACACTCATGATTGAGCTTCTAGTCTTGTTTTTTAGTCTTCTATTTCTTATTCCAAGAATTATAGTTACTTGCAACAGGTTGTTATATTCATAGTGAAGTAGAATAGTGCACATTGCTCTACATCACAAGTAAATTTTAGATCAAATTTTATCAAATCTTAGTTAAAGAGACGAGCTGCTAGAATGACGGCCCTTAAGTCCATTGAATGTATTGAAACTATGATTCTCATCTGTATTGCCACACCAAGTAATAAAATCTTGCTTGTCCAAGCAAGAAGCACCGTATCCACAAGTATTTCTTTATTCCCTTTTGTCTTAAGGTGTGACTGTGATGCCTGTGAGACTCTGGATCCAGTCTAGGAAGTTTGCAGTCTTGGTGAAGCCGGAGGGCTTGCCCAGGCTACAGCCCTTGCTGGGCATGAAGCTAGCGATGGCGACGTGAATGAAGTTGCCGTCGGTCCCTTGTTCCACAAGAGCACCGCCTGTGTCACCCTGGAAGACAAAATTCGATCGATCAGTGAAATAAAAAGGGGAGGGGGAGTAATCTTAATGCTCGAGAAGAGACCGCTACCTGGCAAGGGCTCTGCTTGGTGGAGCTGCTGCAGCACAGGATGTCGTCCGATACGATCTCGAAGCTGTAAGTATTGACGCAGGTGTCCTTGTCCAGGCCCTTCAGGCTAGCGTACTGGAGCTTGGGCGAAATGGATGCCGCGCCTGTGGACAGAAGGCATGCCGCCCAGGCGCTGCTAGCAAACAGCGGCGGGCGGGACGGGACCGGTGACCGGTCCGGCCCGCGGCTAGAGACGGGTAAACACGTTAACACGCTACTCACTGTCGCCGAGGTAGCCCCAGCCGCTCAGCTGGAACTGGCTGCCCGTGAAGTCTTTGCTGGCGTACGAGCGCGGCGGGAGGGCGATGGGCTTGATGCGATCTGCGGTCGACAGACAACAACAACACGGTGAACGTCAGGCCCCCCGGCCCCGGCCCAGCCAGCAGCAGCCCGACCCGTCCGCCAGGAGCGCCTGGTGGGTAGGCCACCGCGGGGCACGAGGGCGGCCGAGCGCTGCGGGTCGGCCTACCCCACACTTCGCAGGGGCTCCGCTCGGAGCCAGCCAGCGAGCTCGCGGACTTACCGGATGTCTTGACGGCGCGCGGCAGCAGGACGAGCGCCACGTCGTTCTTGTACGTGGTCTTGTCGTAGCCGCCGTGGACGTAGGCCTGCGTGGTGGTGACGGCCACGCGGCCCTTCTCCGCCGGCAGGTTGATGTTGGAGGCGCCGAGGAACGCCGTGTAGCGGGGGCCGTACTCGCTGCAGGCCACACAAACACAACGGTTCAGCCCCGGGCGATCACGACAACAGCAGGCCGAGTACAGGAAGCCCGACGTACCTTTTGGCGCAGGAGGCCGCGGTCAGGATCCACTTGGGGTGGATGAGGGCGCCGCCGCAGAACACCGACAGGTCGACGTACATGCCCACCTGGTAGGGGAACTGGCCGGGGCTCGCGTCCTGGCCGTTGCTGATGCGCAAGTTAGCGGAGCGTGCCGTGCGGCGGGGTGCAGGCGCTGCTGCCTCTGTCAGAGACAAAAGTTACGAAGTGTGTTATTTCCTTTTTTCAAAAAGCCCAACGCTTCTGAGTTTTGGGAGCAGCTTCGTCCCCCCCCCCCCCTCAGATGGTGGGCCACACTACTGGCGGGACAGGTGAGGAGTTCCCGGGACTGCCCGTGTTCGCGTGTTGAGTTGAAGTCCCCGTCATTGACAAATCCCTCGGCCTCGGCGTCACTGCCATATAATCCCCTGAGTAAATCCTCAGCGCCGACCGTGTACGAGCAGATACGGAGCGGCTAGGCGCGGTAGGCGTGTGTGGGGCTACCTGCCTAGACCGAAACTCGGCAGCCCAGCCGGGGGTTTGCTTGACCAACTCATTTCCATGTTCGCCACCGGCCACCGGCATGACCATAGAGATGGCTTACTTGGCGCCAGGATGTGGAAGGACGAGAAGGGCGCCGGCTGGACGGAGGCGCTGGCCTGGAAAGAGGAAATAGATGAGTAGAGCTTAGAGGCGCAAGGGTACGCCGCAGGAGGGTGTCACGACACTCAACATTCACCAACAGTGAGAAGGGGTTACGTTATGCGATACTCAGGAGTACTCGGAGTATCCATCCAACAGGTAGTCGACTAGGCGACTGAGTTGAGTCGCCGCGCCGGAGCACCTAAACGGACGACTCCTTGCTATGCACCCTGTGGTCTACCGGGTGGGGTATGGCATGAACCCCCACGACAAGCTGATACAACAACAAACAATAACCACGAATGCTGCATCATGCTACCTGGATATCTTCCAGGGTGGGCCACCGTCCACAAACAAATGCTTGGCGGGTTGGCCTACCCACGGAGCGTTGAGGGCTCTACCTTGCTCTACCGTTAGCGTCGCCCCAGGAAATATTTATTGTGGAGGCACCCCACTAGTGTGAGGGGCCTGAGCTATTCGGTCGTCCAGCTGCCGGACACCAGGATTAAAATGCAGCCACCCCTGCCGGTCTGGACCTACCTGCACGGCCAGCGCGCACAGTGCGACGAGGAAACTCCACCTGACAGCCATCTTCTTGCGTTCGCTGGCTTCTGCGTCCCGGCCCGACGCCTTGCAAGCCATTTTATCACCTCGGACCTCCCAAGCCGTATCGCACCGGCGATAACGCAAACAGATAAAAAACAAAGCGTCCCGGTGGTACCTATAATCTTGATTTAAGCAGGCGATATAGCATTCTTGGACATGCACTACTAATTATCAAGAGATTGAATAAATAAGGCATTGCTTGCCTCCACATTTTTCTTGTCACATTCTAGCATGATTCTAGTTAAAATACCTCATCCCACGCCACACTGCGGACTCTATGTTGGGTTGCCGACGAGCTAGGCGCTGTAGGGGGAAGGCCCGGAAGGCTACTTGAGCCGCAGGGTGGTTCGCGAGTCACATGGACACATGACCGCGTGTGGGGGTGGGTCCTCGCGAAGCCGCGGGGTAAGCCGCGTACTTCACAGGAGCGCTTCGCGTACAGCGCGAGCGAGATTGATTGAAACCCTCACTTGGGCCCTCGCGGCTTCGCCCCCCCCCCCCCCCTCCTCTCTCCCGCATCCTTCCCCCACCGTCTTCAGGACCCTTTTTGATTAGAAAGCATTCTTGCCACGCTCCAAAAATTCTGACTCACAAAACAAGAGCAAAATGTAGCATTTGGCGTCGTTGACGAGATATTTCGACAAAAACCCACGACTTTATTTGGACAGTTATTTTGAATATATTGTTGATCATGTAACTTCGTAACCGACTCTCTAGAATTCGACAACATTTTAAGGTTGGCAAGCTTGACTTGGTCACTTCTTGGAGAGAAAATAAAATTGAAAAAATAAGTGAAACCAAACCACAACAAACAACTGTAATTTGTCAAAATACTTTTCGGATTGTTGCCACAGTTATTGATAAATTAGTCAGATATTGGTTTCAGAGGCACAGGAATAGAAGTAGACACACTGTAATAGTTGTCGCTCTCTCCTTTACTTGATATATCGTGTGAAAATGGAGCTTGGACTCACTAACCTCGATAATTTGACTGGCATTTTACAAATTAGCAGCGAAAATAGTTCAACGTTTCGATTTTTCTTAATGATATGCACATTTACTTGCATTCTCGTTATATTTAATTGCTTCAAAAATTTGTTGAAGGTCGAGTATTGCTTCTACTAAAATTTTGCCTTTATATTTACTTGTATATGTAAGGTTGAATTTTGTTTATTCTTTTGTATGCAGGCTTTTGTAATACATGAAGCTGTACCAAAGATAAACCAAAAAAGATTTATAAATGCAGTATGGCATGTTATCTTTTCTACTGTGGTCTTAATGAACACCATTAATATCAACATTACTTGGGATGCCAATTTCAGTCTCAAGGATACCTTGAAACATGCAGCTTTCATGCCTCAATGTAACAACAACATTATTGTGCAGACTGTAAAACAACAGAAAATTTTTGATGACTTTGGAACTGTAGTTCTACCAATAACTTTCTTCTTGCACCAGTTATACGCTTCAACTTCGTTATTTTTGGAGCCAGATGTGTTATCAACAGTTTGTTGCTCTCTGTTTATTTATGCTTCCCACACACTTAGGTATTTAATTCAAATACTTGTTGTTTAATTGTCGAATGGTACAAATTAAAGTACAGTTTGTTCTGTTGGCCTTTGCCTTGTTTCAGGTGTCCAAATCTGTGTTTAAGAGTTTTGTCGCTTTTAGCCCTCGACGTGGGGTCTATGGAACTTGCCAGAGCCATTTATGCTCTAAAATCAAGGAAAAGAGGATTTAAAGGCCCCAAAGTACCATTACTTCTTCGCATCATTTCAGTGCCTTCATTTTTTCTACATGTTATTTGTTGGTAAGACATCTATTGTTAGAAAGAGATTCTTTTGGTTTATGTTTTATGAATGCCATTAAAAAAAAAAAAATGTTTTGACTTTTTTTAAATTTATTACAGGTCAGTCGTTAATCTCTACTTAGTTCCTATTCTATTTCTTTCATTGCCTGCGGTTTCTGAAATAGATGCCAGCTATCGGTTTGCCACAGCTTATGTAAATATATTCTTGGTTCTTTTGGCAAAGCAACGACTTTTTGAATCTGTGAGCACAATTGACACAATAATCATCAATTAGCCAGATCAATCGTTTTCTATCTTCAATTATTTACTACTTTTGCATTTCAGCCTGTTTGGTATTTGTTTAAAATGCTGGTTACACGACCAGCAGATTTTAAAAGAATGCGCAGTTTTCAAACTCTCCCAGTAGTATTACTCTTACCATACACAAGCCAGCTCCTACCAGAGCTGAAAGCCATTCAAATGGATTCCCTGCTGAATGCTATTCCTACAAGGCAAGGTCTATTATGAGGTAGTTTTCATGGGTTTAATTGGCCTGTATTGTTCTTATTATCCTTTTCCTTTTGTATAAACAGTGCTGAAAGGAGATTGATGAGAAAAAAGATTTTATCAGCTAATGGTCAATCAAGTGCACCCATGACAGAAGAAAAGGCAGATCTGTTGAGCATAATAAAGTGTAAGTCTTTTGCTCTTTAAAGGATTTGTTAAATACTGTATATCAGATTATCAAGCAATTGTCCATTCCAGGTGTGAAGGTTCTAAAGCGAAAAATGCGCTACCGTTATGAACAGAAGAATGGAAATGAGCCAGGAGAATTTGAGCGCGAAGATTCTGCCAATGATAAAACTGAAATGACAACTGATCCAGATAATGATATTACGGATATTTACGTTCCTGTACCTCACACCAGCCAGCATAAAGAAATTGCAACCTGTAGCAATTTAGAAGTTGCAGCAGATGTTCATGAATTGAACGAAGACACAGACATTGAACCTAAAGAAAGTGCGTCTGGGGAAATTGAATCTGGCAATGATAGAACTGAGAATCCAACTGGTCCAGAAAATACTACTTATCTTAATAATTCTGTACCTGATACCATCCCCTCTGAAGACATTGCAACTTCAAGCAATTTTGAAGTATCAAATGTTCAGGACAAGAAGGAAGAAATGAACATGGAACCCAAAGAACATATCGAAGATGAACCATAGGGAATGTCTTGAGGTATAGATCAATTAAAAGTGTTTCAGTATATGTACCAGCAAGAATTGAATTAAATTCCAAATTATGTATAATTCTAATTCTTTATTAACACACAAGTGGGTACATTTGTCAATTAAGTTAAAACTCTAAGAAAAGGCACAAAAAATCTGCAAAGCTAATCAGTCAAAATAATTAAGTGTAAACACATGAAATGTCAAATTAAAAGGTGCACACACAGCCATCGGTATTTTCGTACAGAGGTAAAACAATACTGATAGTACTGATAGTTGTAAAATATCACAAAACCATGACAGGAGATCATTCTTCATAGGCCAATCACCTGATTCGTGTTTTGAGAAGACTTGGTTCAGCTTTAACTTCTTTCGTAGATTTTTTCTTCGCTGGATCAACCGCAAAACATTTCCAGAGTCGTAGTGTTTCATCAGCACCAGCAGATATGACTGTAGTACCATCAGGTGACATTGCCATGTGTAGAACTCTTGCAGAATGTCCAGTCAATTCAGTAACCTGAAAGGTGTGAAATGAAGTTATGAACCATAACAAAGCAACTTTAAATAAAGAAAATATTAAATTGCCATACCTTGGCCATGGAAGGGTACTTCCAAATGATAAGTTGATTATTGGCATAACCGTGTCCAGAGATTAATTCTTTGTAATGTGCAGACCACAATATGGCACAAACCTGCATTAAGAATTTGAGTAATGGTAAAAGTAACATGGTTTCAATTAATAAATCTGTTGTGAGGTGGTGAGGTAGATAACTTACTTGAGACTTTGTGTCTACAGTGTTCAAGAGAACACCAGTGTTACAATTCCAGAAGCGGATACAGCGATCTGCAGTGCCACCTCCTGATGCCAAAACATGCGGCTGCCAGGGACACCACGCAACCGCCTTCACAGCAGCTTGGTGAGCACTGCAATTAGAGCCACAAAGGTAAATATAGAGCTTAATCAGAAAGAAGGAACATAAACACACAGAAAGATAAGGGCACAAACCTCAATGAATACAGTGGCTGAGCTTGGGTATGCATTGTACCATGGTTCACAGGCCAAACATTTAGCAAATTGTCATTGCCTCCACTGGCTAAGTAACGTCCATCTGGTGACCATTTCAACCCACAAACCTAAATTTTTAATTTGTTAATATTTATTTTATGAAAATTGTCAATATATTTGTAACTGCATTATTTTCTTACTTCTTGAGTGTGTCCATTTGTTGTCAGTACATTATGCTCCCTCATTCGGACATCACTGTGTATAATTTGTCCAGTTCGAGAGCCACTGCTGAGTATGTAGGAGTTCCAGGAAAGAGAGCCCACACGACCTCCATGACCAGCCATTATCCTTTCACGTTTCATGGCAGAAGTATCCCAAAGCTAATAGAGAAAAAAACAATTGCAGACAATTTGGAACAAAGTAGAAGGAGCACCATGACAGCCATTCCTATTTTGAGCAGTGCAAACAAGGTATAGTGGGAGACCATAATTAAAAAAACTAGCAAAAGACCTAATTAAAACGCTTGTTCATAGCCGGAAACAAAAGTGAACTGTTCAATTGCAATTCCAGAAAAGAGACAGTCATTAGGCAGGGGTCACATTAGGGTAATTAATCCTAGGTGAAACAAAATAGTTTACCTGAATAGTTCCAAGGCTTGTTCCTACAGCCAAGTGTTCACCTTCCCCAGCCTGAATCCATGACAATGAGCTGACATTATCATTAGATTCCAACTCCAAAAGTTGTTCAATACTTCCAGTGGCAGCATTCCAGAGATAAACACTGGCCCCAAGAGCAACAGCCAGAATGTTGTTGTGGCCCCAGTCGATAAGGTTCAGATCTAGAAGAATACTTAGAATGGTTAAAGCATTCAATGCAGAAATGCATAAGATAGTATTTAAAAATCAGAACTTACAATAGTCATCACATATTTCAGGTGCATCAAGAATACGATCAGGAGCTTGAGGAATATACCGAGTAGTGCCCTTCACAGATGCTGGAGTTTTGCTTTGGGTGTATACAACCTTCAAGTGATTCTGGTATCCCTATTTCACAAAGATGACAATTGATCAGTATCATAAAGGCGTACAATAAGAACACTGCAAGCAGAGTTTGAGTGAGGGGAGTGGTGTGAGAAGCATTGTTTATGCCGACCAACCACCATCCTTGCACAAACTACGTATGGAGCGTTTCAATGGTAAATCATTAAAAACAAAAACAAAAATACAAGTAAATACAAGCAGAAACACGGTTAATTACTTCTGGGGGCAGGGGAGCTTTGTTTTGATAGGATAATATGCGCTGATTGTTGATATCACGCCCATGAAGGTTTTCTGACATCACGCGCTGTTTCTCTGCCTGTGTAGGGCTCTCACCCTCCTCAGGGGCTTGCTGCTTCAACTAAAACACCAAAAGTTTAGAGATACAAAAAATAATCCACAAAATAATTAATAACATTAATAGAAATCGAATGAAGACTTGTACCTTGAATGAGCCAAGATCAAAATCAGTGGCTAATCTATTAGGAATAAATCTGTCACCACCACTTTTCCCTGGCGTAGGGGACTTGGATGAAGGGTTCGATCCTGAAACAAATTTCACATGAGACAATAATTTAAAAAGATATATGAATACAGTCCCAAAAATATAGAATAAGTGCTTACGGGGAGACTTGGATGGTGTTTTTGAAGGAGTCTTTGATGGCGTTTTGGACCGGCTGGAACCACCTTTACTAGGAGTTTTAGACTGATTGGTGCTGCAATTCAAGGATGCATTCATTTTGCCTCGGGACACATTTAAGCTCATGTTGACACTGTAAGGGGACCCCAGATGTGACAAACAACAAAGAACAAATTACTCCAAATTGTCATGACTGTCATTTGCTCTACCTGGTGTTGGATGCATCGAGGTGCTTCTTCTGCCACCGAGGTGCCGGGCCTCGAGTGATAGGTTCGTCCATTCGCACAACATTGCTCAAATCGTTCATAAAGCTGTAACCGGCCATGTTGGTCTAAGGAAATCGCAGGGTCTCTGGTATAACAGAGGTCGGGACCTCGCCAGAGTTGGTCAAGAAAGAGAAACTAGGCGCGGCCAGCTCACCTGAGGCAGAAACATAACAAGTGATGTAAAAATAAAAATAAATAAGCCGTAAGAGCGAACCTGCGAACCGGCTAACTGGAATTGATGGGTAGCATATTTTAAGCGCACTCACAATGGATAGAACACCAGCACCACCTCGTCCGTGTAATGATGTCCTCCAGCCAGAACTGTATGGTTCAGATTGGTGACAGCATGACACAGGATTTCACCAGGTGAAAAACAAACTGACAACCACTGGACTAAGTGAAAATGGCAATTTCAGACATTTTAAAACACGAAAGTAACGGTACAAAACAGTAGACAGTCGACGATCACACACGCAACTTAAACAAAAAAAAAATAATTCTTGATTGAGGTGGGATGGTAGTAGACCAGTTAACGAGCAATTTCTACAAAATATATTACCATTACACAAAATTTGCAGATCTGTGATTGAAGAAATTTTTCAAGCCCACTTTGTGTCATTCGTATAAATGTTTTTCAAAATTGGTATTAGTTGTGCGCTGGTGTCACACTGGTGGCCAGATCCGTATCGGCAGTGACCCCTTTGGGCGAGGCTACAGGACGCGCGGGAGCTATGGCGAACGGTGCGATCAGAAGCTGGGCATGGGGAGGGACTTGATTTTCCCTCCTAGGTCATGTGTGTTGTCGTTGTTCGTCCGGTGGCGCAGTCGGTAGTGTGCTCGAACATTTTGCTTGCGTCTAGTTAGAGGGGTGCTAGGGGGTCCTGAGCTGTCGGGAACGGTTTCCCCCCATATACTTTACATGGGTTTCTGCGGCTAATAGACACAAAGTAGACAGATAGTGCCTACAATACATTGCCGGATTAAATGCGCACACAACGCGCGTCCTGCACATTAAATGCGTCAAAAATGTGTCACCTTTTTGCGCATTTTAATGCGCATTGGAGCATTTCATGCACATTAATGCGCTGGGGCGCTACTAGGAGGGAATGCGGGACAGAAAAGTCCGGAGGGTGCAGGGGAATTGTGATATGATTCTGGCAAATCTCCTTCCTGCGCGTGTGAGGAGCTATTAGCTAGAAATTAATAGTACAATTAATTGAAGTTAGGGGTTCTCCGTTGTTTCTGTTTGGTTGGCGCCTGCGAGCCGTCGGGTAGGCAACACCACTGTAGCACTGTACCATGAGGTGCCTACCCGGACAGGCGCTTTCGCGTGGTAGGTAGGGACAAACGGACTGGAGAACGTGAGGGTGAGAGAGGGGAGGGAAGGGAAGGGGAGGGTAAAGTGTGGCGGATGTTCTCAAATCCAAGCGTCGATAGGGCAGCAGAAGACATAACCAACCATGCTTTGGTTGAGTCGGAGCCGGTGGTCAACTGCAGTCCTAGAACCGTCGCCTGGAGAAGGTACTTCATCATTTAACCTCCATATTCTCTTCTCATACACCTTTTTTCTTCTCAACTATAGGCGTGGTGTAAACATTTTTATCACATTCATCTGTAAATTTTGCTCTGCTCACAATTGTATACCACCAAAGCAGCATCGAACCACCTTAAATATAACAGAAATGTTTCACAATTTATCCATCGTGAGTTCTGTAGTTGATGTTGGGCTGTCCCATGGGGAATGCATCTGAAGCGCAATTTGATGATTGGTAGGCCTACTACCTCATGGGGCTTACAGCCCTCATGTACCATCTTAGCTAAATAAATAAAATAAAATTTATCTCCCTTCTCTCTCTCTCTCTTCTTCTCCTTCTCCGTCTTCCCCACTCACCCCTTACCCTCCCACGCCATGCCGCTGCCCGAGGAGCGGTGTTGCTCTCGCTGCTCTGGCGGCGCCCCTCCCTCGCCCTTCGCCTCCGCCCGCCTCCTCAGTCCCGAGGCAGCCTTCCCCGCGGGAGGACGTGCCGCGTTGTTGACCGCGCCGCGCCACCGCCGCGCGAGTGCGAGCCGTAAGAGTCGGTGCGAGCGCGCTCACGCAGGTCACACCCCCCGGTCTCATTGGATTACAATCAGCGGCGGCGACAGGGTAGCTGAAGAGTCAGTGTTGAGTGTTCAAGTGCAGCCCGCGCACCGACGACATGTGACGAGTGCGACGTGTTTGAGTGCGCACGTGTGTGTGCGGTTGTGTGTTTGTGTGCGTCTGTGTAAGTGCTTTATGTGTCATCTCCCTCGCGGATAACGCCACTCGTCACGTCGCACCACCATGGCTCGAGAGGCCCGCCGGAGCAAGCTGCTGCTGCTGGAGTACCCGTGCAGGGTGGAGGGCTGGCTCAATGTTTGTGGTGAGTAAATACATTTGCGTGTCGCGGTCATGTCGCCCACCCCCCGTCATAGGTGCACCACCGGTGCGCAAATTCTCATCGTCGTCCTCCACATCATCATCCTCGTGCTGCTTGTGCCTCTCGTCCCTCTCCATCTCTTCATCCTCGTCCTCCTCGACCTTCTCCTCGTCCCCTTTGCCTGATGCCTGATGTGGCCCTTAGCGATGCTGTGGCAGATGCCGTGCTTCGGCGGCGAGCGCCCTTCGCACTCTCCCGGCCCTTGCTATGGCCAGGCCAGCACTCATGGCGTGGAATTTGAGCCCCGCCCCGCCCGCCCCGCCGCGCCCCGCCCCGCCACGGCCCACCGTGCCCGCGGGGCGTGCTCCCAGCCCGTAGCGGGGCGTGGCGGGGCAGTGTGCAGGACTCTCGCGCCGGTCCTGCCCCGGGGCGCTGTTCTAAAACAACACCCGGCTGTGTTGGGTCCTCGGCCGGCCCGCCAGCCGACAGTACCCAGGACGACACGGGTGCACTAGAAATCAGTGCGAGGTTGGGTGGGGGTGGGTCCGAGTGAGGTCGCGTCTTTGAGGCGCTCAGCGCGGACAAGACCGGGACGAAACCGGCGTCCGCGCGACGTCCGCCGTCCTATCCGCCGCACCCACACTGGCATGCAGTCGCACCCCGCACTAGCGCACCAGTGTCGGCACAACAAATCTGCATTTAACTGTAGGGGCAAGGTCAGCTGTCCGCCGCTACGCATGTTGTGCTCTAGTCGAGCGCAACGCATGTCATACATGTCGAGCCGAGCCGACGAGTTGTGGGGGTGTATTTATTCACTGCAAGAAAACTTGTACATTCGTAACACGGTGCAACGCGGAATTACCACGCAAAATTAAATTAAATTTGATCATTTTATTTTTATTTCTCAGTGTGTTACATTCCGCGTAGTGATGACCACGTATTACCTTGATCACTTTCCAAAACTGTTAAAAATTGTGAGGAAACACACACACACACCCGTGCGAGCGCGCCTGACCTCTTGTTTCACTGTCGTCGCTGCGCCGCAGCGCCGCAGGCGACAGGAAGTAACGGCGCCGTGCCCGCCCGTCCAAGTTGTGGGTGCCCCCCCCCCCCCACACACACAGAGCACACGATTAAAGTTGAGCGGCAGCGAGCGACACATAAGCGCCCGCACAACAGTATCCTTACTCCTTGGGTTTCCGCGTTGCAGCCCGGGCCGCGCTGCGCTGCCTGCTGCGCTGTGCTACTCGGCTGCAATGAAAGCGAGAGCAGCGTGGCAGCGCGCACCCCTGTCGCGGTCCGGTCGCGCCGCTACTTGACTTACGTCCTAGCCCAGCCTTGCTGCCCGCGCCTGCCTCGCGGCCCCCGAGGCTGTGAAACACGTGAAACACTAGCGGCGCGCGACAGTGACACCGGCGTGCGGGCACCGCTCTGTGCAGCACGCTACTCGCCGTTTCAGCTAGCAAAGTCTTCCTGCAGGCGCGTGTTGCTGGAGTGGAAAATGGCGTGGTGCCAGGTATACCTGCTGGGGTCACCCACCTCTTTCACCAAGTACTGTTCCATTCCATGCACTGTTTAGTGTGACCCGCCTTCGCCCGCCTCACTTTACTTTGGAAAATGCATGTAAGAGAATCAAGGGAAGGGGCGAGTCTCCGGAGGCTTGGAAGTGGGGGGGGGGGGGGGAAAATTAGAATTAAAAGATTTGCGAGTGAATGCGGGTGATTAATGCCATGCATTTATTTTTAAAGGCTGTACAGTCCAAGACCCAAAGACCCCGTCTCTTCTCGCTCCCACTCGAGGCGGCAGACGGACCGGCGCCCCGGCCCGCTCCATTGAGTCAGGCCAGGACGCGATGGCCTGGCCTCTGGGGGGCTCGGGGCCCATCCCATCTCGGGAGCATTTGTCAGGCGGCGGTGCGGCGGGGGCCCAACGGGGGCCGCGGTGCGAAAAACCTGCCCTCCTGCTAGGACGGAGAGGCAAGGGCGCAAGCGCACGGGCCGGCTTATTCAACTTATACAACTTGAAATACCGACGGAGAAATATAATGAGTCGGGGTTACCGGGGTCAGCTTTACCGGGGCATAGGGGCTCGCGCTGGGCTCCGCGGCCCGTCACACGACCGTCACACGACTGTCACGTGTTGTCGAGCCCGTGTCCCGTGTGACGGCGCGCCCGACAATACGCGGCCGTTACTTTAGATTAGGCCCGCCCCCGGCCCCGCCCCCGGCCCCGCCCGTGCGCGCCGTCACGCCCCCGCCGCGGCGCCGTGGCGGAGACAACGAGAGTAAGTTATTGGGTCTCAGATAGAAGAAAGGCGAACGACGCAGTACTTTTATTGGTTGCGTTTTTTGTGGGCTCGAAATGGGCCCCGAAGAAACAGTGGAGAAACGTATTATTTATTATCAGGCCAAATGTGTGAGAGACCGTGTAAGTTTGACATGCCCATGGAAGTTTCCCGTTCTTTATTAACCATATATATGTGGCCGTTCTAGGTACTTTGGAACAGTGTACTCTGCTGCCGCCCGCTGCTCTCCCGGGAAGAGATGATGTCTAATGGATAATCCAAGTGGAGTTAATGGCCCGCGGGCGTGCATACACATTCGGAGAAACGCCACAAAAAATAAAAATAATAATGAAGAATGAGAATGCGTGAGGGGCACTTGGTTTGGGGGTCATTACGGACCGGTGATTATTTCGTGTAAAACAGTGTGAGTGCGCGCGCCACGCCTGTGTGTATGTGTGAGTGTCTAAAGAGGACGCGTGCTATGTCAACAAGATTGTATTATCGGGCAATAAAACACAATTCACATTGTTTCACTTCACAGTGTTTGAATGGCGAATATATTTCACTGGTGAAACGTAAAAAGGGCTTAAGTGCAGAGACTTCGCATTGTACTTACGCCCTTTTCAACGTTGTGAAACGTTGTGAAACGGTTAATTGTCCTGGCAGGTGTGGTCAGCTGTGGAACAAAGTCGGCGGACCGTAGGTCCTGTCCCCGCCAAACGGAGGTGCCGACGCAGCTGGCAGCTCAGTTTA